GAACAGATTGGGCACTTCGAGTTACATAACTTTGATAACAGCATCTGATTTCATCCTTATGGGGATCTTAATTCTAGTACTAACTTCTAAAAATTAAGACAATTTTTACTAGACTTTCAAACCAGTCACTTCTACATCTACAATTAGTTTAACTTAAAATCCTAAAATTGGACTAATTCAGCCCCCTCTGGATGATCCTCAACCTAACAATTCAGATAGAAAACAAACTGAATCGACTTGTCAGCACCAAAAATACTTCTTGTCAGAGAACAGACACCTTGGTGCTTTAGTTTCCAAATTTGCCCTGGTCCTTGCTCTCGCCTAAATTGTAGCTTTCCTGTTCCTGAACAGAACCACAGTCCTGACCAGCCACCCTAAAAACAGAATCGTGTCTGGGTGGGTCTCCTCCATGAAATTCTGCCACCATTCTGTCTGGCCAGGGGCAGGGGGGGCGGGGGGGGGGGCGGAAGAAGTTCTGACAAAGTGCTCAGTTATGTCACAACCAGCATTTCCCAACACTGACCCCACACAGACTGTGAGACCAAAAGGCACATCCTGCAACTTGTCCCAGCCAGAACCGCACTCTGCCAAGAGGGAGGAATAAAAGGAGAGTCTCTGACCCTGCCTGTTACCCCATTGGGCCAACATTCCCTCTCTCTACTCTCACCTGATCCTCCTCCATGTCCAACTGAACAGCTCTTACTGCACAGATCACATGAACGTCTGGAACTGTCCCAGATTTAGGGACTCTGCCTAGCCACAAACAGGATGATGAACCAACTAGGGGCTTCGGTGCGTGAACCCCCTTCAAAGCAAAGAATGGATGTTGCTGGAGCATGCCCTTGAGTATCTTTCATCGAAGTATCTGATCCCATCTTTATGGGGATCCTGATTCCTAGTACTAACTTCTAAAAATTAAGACAACTTTTACTCAACTTTCAAAGCAGTCGCTCACAATTAAAATTGGTTTAACTTAAGATCCTAAAGTTGGACTAATTCAGCCCTCTATATCAGGATGTCGCCCTATCTGACAATTCATATAGAAAACAAACTAAACGGGGGCGCCTGGGTGGCTCAGTCGTTAAGTGTCTGCCTTCGGCTCAGGTCATGATCCCAGGGTCCTGGGATCGAGCCCCACGTCGGGCTCCCTGCTCCACGGAGAGCCTGCTTCTCCCTCTCCCACTCCCCCTGCTTCTGTTCCTGCTCTCGCTATCTCTCTCTGTCAAATAAATAAATAAAATCTTTTTAAAAAAATGTTTAAAAAAGAAAACAAACTAAATGTACCTGTCAGCACCAAAAATACGTATTAATCAAAGGGTTTGCAAGGAGCAGTATTAGACAAAAACAAACCCATATGCATTACAGAACAGAATAAAACTGAATTATTTTGGAAGCAAATATCTCAACAAAATTTCTCTGAAGTGGATGGACTTCAACTATGTTCCCAGAGTTCCTGGGGCACCTATTTATTTACTCTTTTCTGCCATTAGGAGCTCTTCAGTAGAAAGTGTGAGAAGAATGCCTTTGGGCACCTAGAAGCCTGAGGCCTAGAACTCAAATGATATACGTATGCTTCCCATGGGGCATATTCTTTTGGTATCAACATCCACAAAGCCTCTTCATTACAAACTCCCTACCATACATGTGATAGATTTACAGCAGTGACCTCATCAGCATTAATTCCCCTTTCTTTCTCTCCTCTTCTTAACATGTTAATCAATATATCTGTTTGGTTATTCACCTACTTACATATAGCCCATCTACTCTGGAAAAAGCTGACCCTACCCCAATCTTAGGGGTGGACATCATTTTCTTAAGCCACCCAGTTCATTCTGGTCACCAGACCACAGACAGTGGTTCAGGAGTATGTGCGTAAATCAGCTGGTCTACCCAGAGCTTTTGGTTTATTATGACAGGATCACATGGGATTCTACTTCCAAAGTCAGCTGCCAGGAGATCCAGAAAATCACTAAGTTATGAATGCTCTAGAAAGTTGATAACTTATATCTAGAGGCCAAGCAGTCCCTTGTGAGAGCTCTGTGAAGGCAGGGACTATTTCTTATCTCCAGATACTGGGGGTGTGGGGGCGAGTGGATAGATGGCAGGATGGAAGAAGAGGGTCCCCTGATCTTGAGCTGGTTCACAAAGGGGCTGCTAAGTCTGTAGGGATAACCAGAGTTCAAAAGTCCGAACTAAGGTCCTTCCATTTGCTGGCCCCCTTATCAACCATGGCTTCTGCAGTCAAATGCTCTAACCCTGAGCTATACCCCCTCAACCATGGCTTCTGAACATACAAATGACTGTTCAGTTTTTTCATATGATGGGTCATCGTGGACCATCACCCACTTTTACAGTATAAAACTATGAGACTACAAAAGAGATTTAAAAAAAAAAAACAAAACTGTACTTTCATTGTCTGGGAAACAATTTAAAAAAAGAGTGAAGTACAAGATAGTAAAATATTACATGTCATATTAACTTGGCCTCTGGCATCAGGCTCAACAATTCTGCAGCGACATATGAACAAAAGCAAAGCAGGAATAGTATCAAAGTAAGAGCCAGAAACAGATTTCTCAAGGCTGGTGTACATGACATATGGGGTTGCAGAGGTGTGGTGATCAAATTTAGTGTATAGTATTTTTTTATTACCAAAAACAATACATGCTTGACTTAATGAGTTCTATAACACAGAGACCTAAAAGGGTAACCCTTCCCTGTCCCCCATATCTCATCCCACCCTGCTGTGGTGCCCAAAGTTAGCATGGCTTTCTCTATGTGCGTACAAGTATACAAACACACGTGTGCATCCATAAACCCCCCAATAAAAAAAGGATCATACTATACACAATTGCTCTATAACCTTTTTCTTTCTGCTTAAAATAGAGAATGCCCAACCTTCCATGATGATGTATGTTTCGTTATAAAATGAAGGCACATATCTCATGGAAATGATAGCCCTCACATACCTTGGAAAACAATTGATATGAATACCTGGAATCTGAAAGCCATTTTTCTGCTTTGGTTTTTGTAATGCCAGAAAGGGCATTCCTCAAATGGTTAGAAAATAAAATTAGGTAGGGCTGAAACCCAGACATTTCGTCTGCTGAAGACCCAGGAACATTAACATTTGGCGTTTTGTTAAAAAGGGCATTGTTTTATCTTAGTGGGCATAAAAAATCAGGTATGTGAATGCATATAATGTGCTGTTCTCCATCCCATTTTCAATCCCGCTAAAAGTGATCTGTGCTTCTTCGAGCCAAAAAGAAAAATGATCGGCAGTGTTGCTTACGATAGAATTGATTCCTCCTATCTCCATCTCAAAGACCAATGTTTAAAAGTCTGTCTTTTATTCAGTATCAGACCACACTTTGAATGAAAGCCACAGAGCTGTAAGGTTTCCCACCTGAAAGCTGAGCTGCTCCACTCTGCGGGAAGGTAACGCCGGCCTCCTGGCCAAACCACACGGTACCTCCTCCCCGCCCTACAGCAGCACTTTATACCTTTGCCATCTGAATCAACATTTCACATAACTACATCTCTGAGCTTAGGATCTGGTTGTAGCACTAATATTCCAAAAGCAGTATCCACATATCTCAAGTGGTTGTCAACCTCACCTACTTTAAGCAACACAAATCAAGAAAGATAAAAAGTTCAAGTCCCAGATGATGACTACCATTTCCTTAAGAAATGACTTATCCTGGGGCGCCTGGGTGGCTCAGTCGGTTAAGCGTCCAACTCTTGATTTTCGCTCGGGTCATGATCTCAGGGTCGTGAGACTGAGTCCCTCATCAGGCTCCATGTTGTGTGTGGAGCCTCCCTAAGATTTTGTCTCTCCCTCTCCCTCTGCCCCTTCCCGCACAAAAAAAGAAATTAATTATCCAAAGTCATCCCTGAAACATAACTGGCTAACTGGAAAGGAAAACTGTATGTGGCATAAAATAATATGGCTTTGCATATCACTTTTTAAAATATATTCATTCCACAAAAGTAATAATTGATCATACTCCTATCGGTTACAAGCTCTCTTTTTACTTATATTTCTTCTTACTCTTCCCACATTGACAGACAGAAAAATACGAAGCATGTCCCAATAATCCAATTCATCTCCAAACACAGATACACTATAAAAAGAGGGGGAAAGAACTCAGGAGCAAGGCAGAATCTAGTAAAACCACTTCCGTCCAATGCATCCGGTTTCCTTCTCAGCTGCTGGGACAGGGGATCAGCAACCCCCTTTTCTTGGTTTAGTTAACAACATAACTCTACCTGAAGAGATATAAACTTCTGGGCTTTATGCAAATTCCTCAAAAGCTGCATACGAATGTATTTTTTACTCATGTTTTAAATATATGTAAGGAACTCGACAGGCTAAACTAACAATATGAAATCCTTTATAAAGAATTTGTACAACACAAACGTTCTCCTATTATTATATATCTTCACATGTTTTCATTTTTGTATATGACACTATACTTCTGTGTAGTGGGACAGGACTATTCCCAAATCTCCAGGGAGCAACCATATATCCTTATCTGATAGTCTGCTTCTGTCTCTCTACTAACAACAAATGTCAACAAGTTTCATGTCTTTTTTGACAGTTCGCTGCCTTGCATTTTAATGAGTAGCTTCTCAGAGGTTAGAATGCTAATTTTATGAAGGCATCCAAGAAGATGCCTACGGATTTTACAACACCTCCTGAATATCTGTTCCTCAGAGATAGGAACTCAGTATTCCTCTTGCTTTCCAATGCCTCCAACATCCAGTACGATACTCTGCACACGGTCGTCCCTCCATAAACACCATATGGAAAACAGACTCACTTGACTCTAACCGATATTACTCATGTGCCAAATGAGTAAAACGAAACTCATTCTGAGAGTATACACAAATACCCCTGGACTCTAATAAACAAATAGAAGAATTTTCTAGAGAAGAGAAGCCAGCTCTCGGCCACAAAATACAAAGTCTTAACCCACAGATGACCTTCGGTGTATACTCACGTATATTTCATTATGGTCAAAGCGCTTCTTGAGGTTGTTGATGAAGGTCTCCTCGTTGAGAGGCTCTAAAAGAACCATATCTCCAACCCCAATCATATTGTCCAGAAGTGACGTTTTCACCTCCATTTTGGCCATTGTCTCTTCCTGTAAGAAAGAGGGGGGGCGAAGGGGAAAATGTAAATGGGCAAAATTATTTCAGATGGGTTCTTAGTACCACTGGAGAAATGAAACACGGGTAGTTTTAAATGGCGCTCATCTGCCTCTCAAATGCCGAAACCTCCCCTCCAACCTACGTCAGAAGCCCCGGAGTTAGCCGCAGTCACTGCCAGCCCACTAGAAGCCCCATATGCTCGAACCTCCCTCCCAGTCCAGGCTAAGTCCATCGACAGAAGGAGCCACTAGGAAACCAGGCTCTCCGTTTTCTTTTTGTTTTTCTTAACTGAAGTATAGCTGACACACAATATTATATTAGTTTCAGGTGTACAACATAGTGATTCAACATGTACATACATTACAAAATGCTCACCACAGTAAGTGTTCTTACAGTATTATTATAAAGTTACTACGGTATTATTGATTACATTCCCTATGCTGTATTTCTCATCCCTGTGACTTTCTTTTGTAAGTGGAAGTTTGTGTCTCTTTAGACCATCCCCTCTCCCCAGCCAGAGGTTGCAAAACTCTAGCAAGAGAACCCAACCCACCCCTTTCCACCAGCCCTTGCATACCCATGTCAGACTTGAACCTGTAAGAAACTGCTTCCCCCAAGATGGCATCTCTCAGTACTTCATGATGAAATTCGGAATGTATTTTCCCAGGAAATAATGGTCTTAAGATGATACTAACATTTGAGCACTTGCTACATATCAGACACTGTATCAAGAACTTTACATGCATTCATTCATTTCATCTTCACAAAAACTCTATGAGGTAGATACTGGTATCATTATCCCCATTTTTAGATAAGGAAGCTCAGAGAGATAAGAAATTTTGCTTATGATGACTTAAGAGCGCATTACATTTTGTGTTAACTCAATCACCACTTCTAACACAACACCTACGGGGGGAAATTTCATTCCAGGCGTCAGCACTGACTCATAAAGGAACACAACCCCACTGTAAATCAGAGGTTGCCTATATAACCTGCCAAGACTGACCTCGATGTTCTTCATTCTCATCCCAACACACACACCACTACAACAGCAAAATCAAATCAACATCCAATGAATAGACCAGAAACACTAGTTTCCCCCCAGCTCAGTCTGCAAGCCTACCAAGCGGAACAATCAAACCTTTGCACGCTACAAAGGCAGCATTCTTCCCGTTCCACTAATGCGAATGGTACCACCCAAAAGTAGAATGTTAAATCCCCATGCCTTCAAATCTGATCGCTGTCAAGAGCACTAGAATTCTGGGGCGACTGGGTAGCTCAGTTGGTTGGGCGTCTGCCTTTGGCTCAGGTCATGATGCCAGGGTCCTGGGATCAAGTCCCGCATCGGGCTCCCTGCTCAGTGGGGAGTGTCTGCCTCTCCCTCTACTCCTCCCCCTGCTTGTGCACTCTCTCTCTCTGACAAATAAATAAATTTTTTTTAAAAAGAGAGTACTACTGGGTATTTACCCCAAAGATAGAAATGTAGTGATCCAAAGGGGTACGTGCACCCCAATGTTTTTGGCAGTGATGTCCACAATAGCCAAACTGTGGAAAGAGCCAAGATGTCCATCGACAGATGAATGGGTAAAGAAGAAGTGGTATATATATACAATGCAATATTATGCAGCCATCAAAGGGAATGAGATCTTGCCATTTGCAATGACGTGGATGGAACTGGAGGGTGTTATGCTGTGTGAAATAAGTCAATTAGAGAAAGACATGTATCATATGACCTCACTGATACGAGGAATTCTTAATCTCAGGAAACAAACTGAGGGTTGCTGGAGTGGTGGGGGGTGGGAGGGATGGGGTGGCTGGGTGATAGACACTGGGGAGGGTATGTGCTATGGTGAGCGCTGTGAATTGTGCAAGACTGTTGAATCACAGACCTGTACCTCTGAAACAAATAATACATTATATGTTAAAAAAAAAAAGAAGAAGGAGATGATAGCAGGAGGGGAAGAATGAAGGGGGGGAATCCGAGGAGGAGATGAACCATGAGAGACTATGGACTCTGAGAAACGAACTGAGGGTTCTAGAGGGGAGGGGGTTGGAGGGGGGATGGGTTAGCCTGGTGATGGGTATTAAAGAGGGTACGTATTGAATGGAGCACTGGGTGTTATACGCAAACAATGAACCATGGAACACTTCATCAAAAACTAATGATGTAATATATGGTGACTGACATAAAATAATAAAAAAATTAATCAATTAATTAATTTTAAAAAAAGAGAGTACTAAAATTCTTTCATTATATATGAACAAGGGAAAGTAGAGTGTTTTATGTTACTTTTTTCAATGTTACCAGGATGTACAACCACATTCATCTGAGACATTCCCTCTAAATGCTTCCGATGCAGAAGTCAATTTTGTATACTTTCAGTATAATAATACTAACCAATACTTCAGGATACTAATAAATACTCACATATATTCATGCCCCTAATACTCAGGAGAAAGTACATTTAACTCTTCTCACTAAGGAGTTAGCCAGGCATATTAATCTTACACAAAGGTTGGTCTGCTTGCTTAGGATACAGCAATTTAAATAAATGCCTTCCTATTCTAGCCTAGAACACCTAGTAGGTCTCCTAGAGGCAACAGAAACTATATTTACTTGGGCTATTTGCAAGAGAACTGAGAAGCGGGCGCCTGGGTGGTTCAGTTGGGTAAGCGACTGCCTTCGGCTCAGGTCATGATCCTGGAGTCCCTGGATCGAGTCCCGCATCGGGCTCCCTGCTCGGCAGGGAGTCTGCTTCTCCCTCTGACCCTCCTCCCTCTCATGCTCTCTGTCTCTCATTCTCTCTCTCTCAAATAAATAAATAAAATCTTTAAAAAAAAAAAAGAGAGAACTGAGAAAGGATGAGAATTATATGATTCTTTATTATGATGATGATTTATATGAATCCACAAATACATCCTTTATTTCTGACCTTATTAGAAAAAAAATTTTAAGTGTGCACTGAAAAGCCAAAAAAGGGAGACCAAAAGAAGCAGAGAGGAAAGACCTCTCATAAACAAAAACAACCCATTAAGGAAGTATTTAATATTCAAAAGAAGAAAAATGGAGTTAACTTTTTCGTTAATATATACTTCTTTTTTTCATGCCAACTACACCTAGAAAAAGGGCCCTAGGTATCACTAAATGGTTTCAGTAGAATGGTTCCATGCATTCTGAACTAGGCCATAGGCCAGACTCTGTTTTAAAACAAAATGGCTGGGAGAGGGGGCACCTGCCGCTCTCTGGAGAGGCAACGGAAGCAGGGAGAACATCTGGTCTCATGCCAAGTCCATGGAAAGACATGCACAGGAACAGGAACATGAGTGCCCAACCTTTGTCGCAATAAATTAACATTTAAATCAAATTTCAAGTTCTCAGACTCATGAAATGCCAAAAGCACTCTAGCTGTGATGCATTACATATAATTTGGCAGATGAGGGAAGAAGGTTTAGGGATTAAGGGGGAAGTCAACCTGAGAAGGGTTTCAAAAATAACCACCTCAAACCAGCAATTTAAATTGAGCAAAGAGGCTGAAAGGGAACTCTGCCCCAGGGGTTGGATCTGAAGGCTATTTATGGAAACCACAGCAGCAAGACAAGGACCTCACTGCAGGTAACAGTAATTAAGCAATCTTTCTCTGTAATTAAACCCGATTTACCATCTTTTCAAATACAAGTTTCAAGCAGGTTTGTATGGATTCTAATTTTTACACTTCTACCCAACTTCATAATCCAAAGCGGGGGAGAGGACAGAACAAAGGCTGAGCTGTACAACAGGGAATTGGTAAAAGTAAAAATTCTGAAAACACGACCTTTGCAAACCAAAACACACCAATAAAGTAAATCCGCTGAAAAGGTGATACCAACATTCATTTAGTTATTCAAGCATAGTTCTGTTCCATTCCGGGTTTGTTTTGTTTTGTCATTTTTAGCATCCAAGTACTTTGCTGGAGGAAACAATAACGCCCACCCCCCCATTCTCAGGGTAAAAATGGACATGGAGAGAAACCGCATAGAGACACTTCCCTCGCATCCTACAAATGGACTGAGTGAGTCCCCTTACTGCGACTACTGGATCCAGCCTTAGTTTGGTTCAGAATCACTAACTTAAGATTTCCATAAACTATCAGAGGAAGTCACATGGGAGAATCCAATGAGCTCAAACGCAAAGCACTGAGGATATGTCTTATTTGACACATTTATGTCTATCTTCATCCTTCCCAAGACCCCCACAGAAACCCATGTTGTTCTGAGGAAGGCAATTTTATCCCATGTGCCAGTAATGTAGCAAATAATCGATCTAGACACATAGACAACCAACACATTACCATCTTCCAGCCACTGTCATCGATTCAGGGCTGGTTGAAAAACTGAGCCTCAGGCTTCTATCCACCTCTGGATGGCAAGATTTACAGATGTGATACGTGGAACCGACATGGTCATGTCTACTTCAACGGCGGGGGGGGGGGGGGGGTTGTCTGCGGAGGATGGCAACACATGGAGGAAAACAGGGAAAAAAAAACAAAAACAAAACTGAGAATTAGGCAGGAGCCCTAATGACATCACAAACCTCTAGATCAAGTTGCATTTGAAACCTGCTCCGCAGCTCCTAACTCTACACACACGGAGGCCAATTAATTCTCCTTACTGTTTAAGCTGCTTGAGTTGGATTTTCTATTATTTGCAACAGAAAACACCTTACCTAATAGAAGCAGCTGGTACAAGGAAGTGGAGTGTTAGAAGTAACACAGGAGCATGGACCGGCTGAGCTAAGGCCACAAGGGGGAGGGTGTGAGGACCTCCCATCTTGGATTGGCAAGATGATCACCTCTGATATGTGACAGTAAACAACTGATTAAAACCGTGGCTTCTCGTGCCTTACGTCTTGGACCTTGTGCCTCCAACCCGACAGCATTTGCGAAAAATTCAGATGCTGGAGTATGTGTTGGCTACTTAAGGATCTACGAGAAAAAGACAGGCTTGCCGTGAAACT